AAAACATCTGAGTAGCAAAGGTTAAGAACCAGTGATGTACACAGTACTGCTCATGGGGGTTGGGGAGGGAAGCCCACATGTATAGCTTTACATAAGTCTCTAAACCTGAGATGCCTCTTCAATGAAAAGTCGGGAAGTACCATATTTTAGAGCTAGTTCAGCCTTTGGAAATGTTTATCTGTTGGCAGCGTGTTCGTGGTTTCAATAATCGGCAGTAAGAAGAGAGCGTGTGCTCATTGTCTCAGTCAAATGGAATGAATGTGACCTAAGAGCTGTCAGTCATTCGAGAGGTGGAGCCTATGTGGAAGAAAACTACACATGTGCCTTTTTGACTACAACTCCCAGAATACACTCTTTCAGGATGGGGGATTCTGGGAGCTTTAGTCCAAAAAAAGCAACTTTTCTAAGCTCTTTGATGGTGCAGTTCTGTTGAGACTGATTAGCATGCATGTATCTTGGATCTGTTCCTATGGATCATAAAGCTCAAATTTCCTCTTCTCTTTTGCTCCCCCCTCCTTCTCAGAACTCCAGCTCTGGAGACAATGTTTCTGTTGTTTAATAGCCCATCTTGTACCAAGGGCTGAGAGCAGGTGGAAACCACTTAACTGGAGGGGGCTGAAGAAGACGATCCCTTGCTGCCCGGGGGTTCGTCTTCCAGACATTCTACGAACACTGCTGGCAGGAATCACTCCCAGCCATGATTGACCACTTTGCTCCTTGTCTCCCTGAGAACCACAAGCTATAAATTTCCATTCCTGCAAATGAACCCATTATTGAAATGAATCCACTTCCTTCTTGTTTGGGTGAATCATTCTTGGCACTGGGTAGGGAATAAGCTGAAAAAAATTCAACAGAAAGGTGCAGTGCTACCTGTGCTCCACAAATTGCCTTGGCACCTACGTTAAGCAGGGCTCACATGCTAGAGTAAGATGCTCTCCACAGGGAATGGGAGCCTTTTGTTGCCAGGAAATTGGCAGTGGCTTTTTTGGCAATCTGGCACATGTGATGGTGGCAGTAGCTGCCATTTTGAAAGCCGACCTGAGGGCTCAAAACCATTTCAGGCTCCGTTTGATGGAATACCTAAGAAATGCCATGCTATCCTACATCATATTTTATGATTGGGGATAATATAGGTGAAAACAAAACAAAACAAAGAGGGGGGGGACAAAAACATGGTGGCAGTTTAAAGACTAACTTTTATATATTTTTAATGTGAGCTTCCATGGACAAGTCCACTTCATCAGACATATGATGGGTGTATTATGTGCCATGTGTTCTTTGTAATGGGAATATACATTTGTCCTCTCTTGTGGAGGTTGTCTCTTGCCATCAAAAGTCTGCAGTGACCTGCTCCTTCCAGCTCATCCCAATGGCAGCTGGAAGTGTGAAGGGCAAGTTCAGATGAGGAAGTATAAAGCTGAGAAACAATAAAATGTGAAACATATCACAATGTCGCTTTCCTTTGCAGGGACTGGGTAAGGAGGACAGTACAGGGCACTTTTTCAGTTGCCCTTGCCAAGTCTGCTGCACTCAGTTGTCAGTCATAATACTTGCTTGGAATACTGCACAGACCTTGTTAGGAAACCAATATCACTGAAGCGTCTCATTTGATATTCAACACAGATTGCCATATAGCACCATACAAGGATATATTTTTTTCTGGTTCCTATTTTAATAAGCCTTTGGATGTTCAGAAGTGGAGCAAAATGTATCCTCATTTGAATAGATTGACAGTGCTAGGATATTTATGTGTTGGAATGATTAAAAATACCGGGGTTCTTTATTAAGCAACATTAATTGGAATTTCAAACATCATCTGCCTTTCCTCTTTCTGTGTTGCTATAATTGTTCATTCCTTCTGGGTGTCTTTGATTTAAGCTTTTAGTAAGTTGAAGTCATTTGGGAAAGACACCCACAATGGCTAGGCATATTGTTGGCACACACCTTGAGTGTCCCTGTTTCGAGCAGTAGGATTTGATCCCCAAATCCTGAAAAATATCTTCTTACAGAGAAGTTATTTTATTGACACATTTTAGCAGATTTGAACTGTCATAAAGCACACTTCGCAATCTCATCATCATTGAACAAAATTTATTTCTCATTTGCAACCACACACACCATTTCCAGGGCCAGCCCCATTATTAGGTAGAGGGAGATAGTTAATTCAGGCAACAGAGTATGAGTTTCAGAAAGGACAGCATTTTGTTATATATTTAATTTGTTTAATTTTCACTTTACTACCAAAATGTATATTGATATATTGAATGTCCATGTTATTAATTTTGCTTTACACCTGTCAATCAATAAAATTAATGTTGAGCAACAGACACGTATACAAGCTTAATTCCTCAGTCTCCTCCTCTCCTGTACACACAGCCCTAGACATTTCAAATCCACCATAAAAGTTTCACCAATTAAAAACTATGTTTTTTTAAAAACAGTCTTTCCTACACACACACACACACACACACAGACAGAGAGAGAGAGAGAGAGAGAGAGAATTAAATTAAGCAGGCAAATCTAAATGAGTGAAAAACAGAGAGAAGACAAAAAATGAGAAAGAAACACGAATGATGATGAAAGAGGGATAGTAAGGAAAACAAAGAGGAGAAGAAATAGCAACTGATGGTCAACACAGTCTTATGCTCCTGCTGGTTAAAATCCAATTTTCTTTGGAACCACTGCTGTGTTACCATCTAATTACTAGGATTCTATAGGTGGTGATAAAATAATGAAAAGATACAAAAAATTCCCCATGGTTAAGGACTGTTTCTAAGCCTACACATCAGATTTGAAAGCATAGAAGGAAGCCCTATTGATTTCAGGGATAATTACTCTCAGGTAAGCAAGCAACTCTCAGGATTACAGCCTTAGATCTGGGAATTCTTCTCATTAAAGTTCACCAGGGCTTTTACTGCTCTCATTCTCTCTATTTCAGTCTTCGGAGGTTTGTTGCAATGCTCAAGCATTTGAAAGCATGAAGGGCATTCCAGTGAAATGTGGAGGAGAAAGAGATTTCTGATTAGAAAGGGCAGCTGCAGGCATGAGAAAAGGAAAAGACTAGATGCTGCAGTTTCAGGTAACTGAGGACAATCATTAACTCCAGAGAGGCAGAAACTAGAGAAGGAACTGACCACACAATAGATGTGCTGTTGGAAAAATCATGCCCAGTGGGACAGCTGTGACAAAGGTAAGTATTATTGCACTCCAGCTCCTGTCAGCATGAGCAATGGTCAGATTGGAAGGGGGCTGTAGCTCAACCATGTAGGGAAGGCTTCATGTCTTCACTCCAGGATTAGGGACTCCTAAGGAGCCTGATTCAGGCTGAAGAGGAAGCATTGTTCCTGCAGGGATAATGATAGCATGAAATGAACAAAACCTGGCAGCTACAACGGCATTCCAAGCAGAAGCAGAATCCATTTTGAGGATGTTGTCCTTTTCCTCCTTTGTGCTTGTTGTCCACCTTGTCTTTTAGTGTGATGGACAAGAAGTAAAGCTTTATTGTGATGATCTGGTAATTGGTAGAGTTGGAAGGGATGTCAACATTAATCTAATCCAGTGGTTCTCGACCTTGAGTCCCCAGATGTTCTTGTATTAAAAGTCCCATAAGCCTTCACCACTAGCTGTGCTGGCCAGGATTTCTGAGAGTTTCCAACACTGGATGCTGAATCTCATTCCTGATCCCCAAATGCTTTGCACAGTTTCTCATAAGGGTAAGTCTAGAGATGTCAGCCTTCACATAATCCCTAGCTGGATCATGGAAGGGAAAACAGGGTAACTAGATACATAAGATCTGAATTGTTGCTGAATTTGATTTTTCATATTTGGGCAATTGCATTTTGTTTTTCTGTTTTTCTTTTATAGCATGCAGTTGTTTTGATTTTCTAGGTGTTATGTTTTGCCAAAAAATTATTGTACGGCTCTAAAACCTGCTGAAACGGAAGGGCAGATCCACCTTCCCCTCCTTCCCTCCAGTCCACTACATTTCACCCAATGCCCAATATTTGGAATGAAAAATAGTTGCATACCATCATCCTGGACTTGCTCCACAAAACTTGACCCCAAAAAACTAGGCATATAAATCCATGGCACTTGGTCCCACAGCTATCAAGGTTATGCATTTCTGTCACTGTATGCGACAGGGAAACCTTTTGCTACCCAGAGGAGTTCCTAAAGCATTGATACACTTTGTGCTAAGTCCTCATGGGCTTATGGAAGTCCTTGAATATGTCCAAAAGTAGCTGGCTGAATTGTGTCCAGAGTCTTAGTAACCGGTTCAGGTAACATTCGCTGGTGCTCGCAAGGGAAGTGTTAAAGATTTGCTCCTGAAGATTTACCGGCACCTCGACTCTCTGTTACGGTGAAGAATCGTGGCGTGTTCTGCCACCGGGAGCCGGTTAATAATTACAGTCTCCTGCTCTGACCTTGAACAGATCGTCGATGATATCCATGCTAGGTTGCGCCCACCTTAATTTATAAGTGGAAGCGCACAGAAGACCATCCGCCGCAGCTGCCCGTGAGGTCTGAGCAGTACTGCGAGCTCCCTAGACCCCCAGTGCGTGTCACTGCGAATAGCAAATCCAATTTTTCCCTCCCTGCTGTTTTCGCTTCTAACTAGGAAGCTCTCTCTCTCTCTCTCTCTCTCTCTCTCTCTCTCTCTCTCTCTCTCTCACACGCACACACACACACACACACACACGAGAGACCCATCATGCATACAGAGAGTTTCCCCACCGACCCACCACTGCAGCTGACATCGCGCCCGCTTCGCCGGGGACCACCAGGCAGGCTTCGCGGCCGCTGGCGCGCCTGCTCGCCTGGCTCAGACTGCAAAGCTCAGCAAGTCGCGATGCGGGCCCTTGGAAAGGAGTTGGGATGGCGGGGAGTGGCTAAGCGCACCCTCTGGGCTTGGCGAAGGAGCTGCACCAAGGAGAGGGAGGGAGGGAGGGAGAGAAGAAGCCAGCGAGCCCCTTTCGCAATGAATGCAGAAGCCTCCTTCGGTGGAGCCGCCAACCAATGAGGTGGGAGCTCTGCAGGAGACAGCGGCGGACGGGAGCCCTGGAGGGGCGGGGGCGAAAGGGAGAGCAACTGCAGCATTCGGCGGGGCTGACCGGCCGCCTGGAAGTCTTCCTCGGCCCCCTGCGCTCCCCGTGTGCTCCCGCGCGCGCCTCGGCAAGCGCGCAGCTCCTCGTCGAGCAAGCCGTAAGTTTCACTTTCCTTCTCTTTCTTTGCTCCGTGGAGCTTACACACTTTCGGGTGGAGGGGAAACCCGAGCTACCCGCTCCTTCCCTTCTCGGATGGGGGGGGCGTCAAGGAACAGCGGGGCTTCGGGACAAAAGGAGAGGACGGGGCAAGCAAGGTCGGGGGACGGGGGGGGACGTCCCCACGACGGCAGAAACAAACGCCTCGCCTCGAATGGCTTTGGCTCAGTTCCTTGCGGCGAGCGCAGCGCTCGGAGGGGACAGAGTAGGTGCCCCGGTCACTCCGAAGGGTTCCTGCGGCGGGGTAGCGACTTCGCTGTCCGTGGTGCTGAGCGGCCGCTCAGTTCGGTTCGCTTTGGATGGACAGCTCCTGGAAGGTGCGAAAGCGCCTTTGCTTGTGACCCAGACCGGCCAAGTAACGTCGGTCAGTGGGTCACTTCTGATTGGTGTAGAGCGTAAAGGAAGTCGGTTTTGCTGTAGCACGTTTAAGCAGCAAAGCGGAGAGAGAGAGAGAGAGAGAGAGAGAGAGACTATGTTACACTGGTTTTGTTAGGGTCAATACAGAGAAGAATCGTACCTGGTGTGCAAACTGAAGATGTGGCAGAAGCGTGCCTACTCTATCATGCATACAGATATGCACAGCCATCAAAGATTATAGTACTGACAGGTACAGGTCAGACAAGAAAATGTTGCTGGTTTACACTGGATAGCACAGATTGTATCCAACGGCGTTTCAGAAGCATGGAAATGCTGCATGTGTGAACTGAGGCACACAATAGGGCTCTGCTCACCTGATCTGCAACAGTTCAGCTCTCAATCCTGCCACTGTGCTCCAATCCTGATGTCTGCACTGAATATGCAGCTGGCTTCTGTGCGGGGAGTATTTCTCTAACTTTCCTGACATATGTACTGCAGGTTGAATGGATCCAAGCTTCAGATTTGAGATTGAATGCATGTGAAATTTAAGAAGGGACAAAAACTCTCCTTTGAAGTGGATTAGATCCATTACATGTGGTTTGTTATTAAAAACTTTCATAGTCTATTGGGCTGTGGCACCTTCATATTTCCTATGCTTGCTTGTCTGCATATATATCTCTCTCTCTGTGTGTGTGTGTCTCAGGAAACTCCCTTTGCATTGTTCAGAAGATATGCTGATTCAGCCCTCTCTGCCACTGTTCAGCAGAGTATGATGGCTCCCCAAAGAGAAGAACAGATTGTACTGGGCAGAGTGAAATCCACTGCACCAAATACCAGATGCGTCAGAGTTCAAATATGCCCAGTCGTATGTCATGTGAGCAAAAGGAGTCAAAGGAGATAAAATATATGATGAGAGAAATGGGTTATTGTGACAACTAAGTGAAACTTGCTTTAGGTAACTTCTAATATAAACATTATTCTTCATTGTTGTCCTGTTGCAGAGATATAGACCATGCAACTGAATCTGTATACAGAGATAGACAGCTATGTGGAGTAGTGTGTATTGGATGGGATATTTTGAGAGAGAGAGAGAGAGAGAGAGAGAGAGAGAGAGCCTTTGTCTCCATGATGGCAACTGCTGAAGAAAGTAAACGAGCAGTTACAGAAATGGTAACCAGCTCACTGCATGCATGCTTCTATCTATAGAAAATGTTTCTGCATATATATATATATACCTGTGTGCAGAAGACTGTCTGAAATAATGTCATTTTTCAGTTCAATTCACTTTATTTATAAGGGAATGGGGAAGCAGGAAGTCTGAGCTGCTGGATGATTTCTATCTCTTGTTTTGCAAAACATGCAGTCCTTGACTAACTCTTGGAAGTGGACTGCAGAATGAGAACGCTGGGGATGAGTCTGCTGATTCTTTGCTCGCTAACTGGCTGGCTGGCTGGCATACAGGACAAGTCACTTTCCAAGCTCCCTGTCTATTATAGCTCTGGAGTGCTTACAAGATGAGATGGGAGATAATGATTTTTCCAGTGCTTGAGTCATTAGCTCTGTCTGATCCTGATAAGGCCCAGCTCACCCTTCTTGCTGCAGTCTCCTTTTGGAACACACATATAGTCTCAGCCAGCTTACTGTCATTTGCTCCAGACCTAGATGACCTCATCTATATAGGTGCCAGGCTGCTTTGCACTCTGAAAGTGCAGACCTGGGTATCACTAGGTCCTTCCCAGGGTCCCAGGCTAATCATCCCAGTGTGGCCATTGACTTAATAGTGGAATGTACCACAACAGTGGGAGAAACAAGCTATCAGTGACAAGAGAGCATTGGAATTCCTTCCCTCTCTGGATTTTGTCACACTCAGAAATTCTTTGCAAAAGTGTGAAGGTACTTCAGCACCAGAAAATCCTTCACCTTCATTTTGAGGTATCTCAAAGGAGCTTGTATTAAGGCTCCAGTCCAACCCTAGCATAACTGTTACATGAAAAGTTCCGTCCCCTTTCAGTGTCCTCTGAAGAAGCTATTGTGGATGGATAACTACTCTGCTGTCCCCATAGTTGCACTGTATCTTTCTTGTTATGGTATAAGAGTATTAAAATGTACCACCACCAAGACCCGTACCCTCCCATTCAGATCCATCTCTTTGGGACAGTGGGGTAAATGGCAAACACCAAGGATGACAGAGAGAGTTACAGTTGTTATGCTTTCTTTGTGAGTGTCCAATCTGGTGCTTTGGTGTTGTACGCTGATGCCTGCACAATGGCATTCTATAAACTGGTAACATTTGATCAAGCCAAGGAGGTTACCTCTGATGATGGGATCCAATGGCATCTCTGCTAAAAAGGTGTCTGTTTTTGACCATTTTCCTCTAGCAGCCTCAGGTGGTCCCTGGTGATCTTTCCACAGCATTTTCTCAAGCATTGTGGAAGAAAATTGCTCAGGGCTCTTCTTTCGACTGATGTTCATCAGGCTGAATAAATGAGTTTTTACAATGTCTTTATTACCATCCCATTGGCATTGAGCACATAATACCTCTCAGTGAGAGTGACTGAGTTTGGAATATCAAAGAAGCTATTGAAAAATGGATATAATTATTTCAATTGCCAAAAGGGAAATGAACCATGGTACTCAGTAGTTATTTTTTCAAGATCATCTAACATAGTTCTTGGTACTGATTCCATCTTTCAACATGCTTGGGGCATATCTTTACATGAGAGGAGAATGAACCAAATGGTCAAGAGATGACTTGAATTTAGGGAACATGGTGGTGTGATATGCATGATGGTATTGTGTCACAAGAGAGAGCAGAGTTGAGTTAATCTCATAAATAATGGGGGAAAGAACACATCCTGTTCCCTTGGACCTGTCATGGTGTAAAGCATGTCTTAAATATATAGTTGTGTCAGTAACCACATTATCAGCATGTACAGTTACTCCCCAGATAGGGAAGTTGCAATGAGATACTTCTACCCAATAGCTAAGTGTCGACCCTGAGATGGGCTCACTGGGGAACCTAGATGGAGATCTCTCTTTACAAGACACATAAACACCCATGTTACATTTCAATAGTTTAAAATAAAATCTGACTATTTCCACTAAACATTTGGTTGGGTCATGGCAATGAAGTAAACACAGGCTGGGGGCATGTGGTCCATTACTAGGTAGCCATCAACTTGGCAATATTCATCCTTGTCTCTGAAAAAAATGGGTAGGGAGTTGAAAAAGGTTGGAAGTAGAATGATATTGATGCACATTTTAGCCTGTTTTCAAAGCATGAGAAATTGACTCCCTCAAACAAGTGAATAGGGGTCTATGGTTTTCCTTCTACATCACCCACATGTTCAAGGTCATGCAGGGAACAGTTTGAAGATGAAATCTCATGTGCTTCTCTCAAAAAAATAAATAAATGGTGACATGAAGATAAGAGGAGTAAAAATAAACCATTTGCAGCTTGTGAAGAATCTGTGCAAATGATATGGCATCTTCTACATGTGACTTTGACTCACACACTCTCTGAAAGGACCCAGGCAGAAGACCCTGGACACTGATGTAGGTTTTGGAGCTTTAGACTAGTACCCACATCACTGCACAGCAGGTAGATGGTTGTCATATGTTTCCAAAGCTTCCCTGAGCTTTGGAGTTACTCTTTTTCTGTATTGCTCTTCCCAGAATCCTCCAGCCTCCATGTCCACTGTTGATGTTGGCAAGGGATTCTGGGAATCATAGTCAGAAAAAAAACAGTTTTATTTGCAAAACTCTAGGAAGCCTTGACAGCATGTGATAAATGGCTACATGCTGGGCATTGATGTGGTACCGATCTAAGTTGTGCTATGATTGTTGGGCAAAGAAGTGGGGGAAGCAGGGTTGAGCTTTCAAGACTTGTACTGTTGTCACAGCTAAATGATCCATGTTCAGAGGCAGTATATGTCTGAATGCCTTAAACAATGGAAGGGGGCTGCATTTTACCCAGCTTGTGAATGGATTTATTCCTTCCTTCCTTCATGAGCTACCTTTATGTTCTTCCTTTCCTCCCGTGAGCTCAAGGTGACACACAGGACTGTCCTTTTCCCCACGTTATTCCTCCCCACAATTATTCAATCAGGCTAAGAGTATTCAAGGTCCCATGGTGAATTTTACAGCTCAGTGAGGAATATAACCTGGATCTCCCAAGTCTCTCTCCAACATTGTAACCAAGATACACTGCCTTTTCCTTGAACTCACGAACCACAATGCTGGCTCAGCCCAAGACTTCTCCTAAAGCAGCACCTTGCTCTGCAGCAATGGTTCCCAATCTTGGGTAACTCAGGTGTTCTTGGACTGCAACTCCCAGAAACCATGACTAGCACAGCTGGTGGTGAAGGCTTCTGGGCATTGCAGTCTAAGAGCACCTGGGTTACCCAAGGCTGGGAACCACTGTTCTATGATGAACCCAGAGGTGGATGCCTGACTACTGTAGGAGAAGGGCTGTTTTAACACAGCAATGGTTCCCAGTCTTGGGTAACTCAGGTGTTCTTGGACTGCAACTCCCAGAAACCATGACTAGCACAGCTGGTGGTGAAGGCTTCTGGGCATTGCAGT